CAATTCACCATTACCCTAACAAGGCCGAAACAATCACAGTATCTCAACAGATTCTCTAGTTAGGACGTAACAAAGACAATATTTAGACAGTATCTTGTTAAATTCAAAATGGTCAGCTTTTTCAAAGTTTATACACTGCTCCTCTTTTTTTTTTTTTTCGATCATTACAAACTCAATTTATTAGTTAACACGCTCTTATACAATATTCGCTCTTCTCTGTTGAAATATATCTGTATTTACTACAATAAATTTATATTTTCAGAAATTGTGGCCAGTATTTCTATTCGGATTAAACATATTTTCCGTAATCAAATATAAAAGGACAAATAGCAAAAGTATAGAATCAAACATTTATCATAAGAAATGGTTACACAGTAACATTCTACAATAGGTGTACAGCAGTAATTTTGAAATATACCTTATAGCTTTCTATAATTATGCTTATAATATTTTAAGTTTTAAAACACGTGTTTGAATTCAAGTAAGCCTTTAAGTATAAAATGTGTATAGGATATAAGTTACTCGTGTTCGTGATAAACAAAGAGATGAATTTTTCATCAAACCTAAATTTGAAATGTACTTGGAATTGAAAGTTCAATTTTGACTGCGTTGAGGTTTGTGTTTATATATGGAAAGATTATGTTGTAAATACGAAATCATCATCTTAACTTTATTTTTTATTAAGTCGACATTTTAAGTGTAAACTATTGTGTGGTAAAGGAACTTTACATTTTAATTCAAAATATGTTTTATTCGGAAATTATATTCTTTTGTGGAAATCTTATATTTAAGCTAGAACATATAATAACTAAGAAATCAAAGTATTCAACCCGAAATTCAGAATACATTAGTCCTCTATTCAGTGGCAAATAAATATAAACAAAACACATAAAAAACTGATACTGTGTCTTTAAAATAAGAACTTGTTATATTTTCCAGAAAACCTCTTTCCAAATTAAACTACCAACTATCAGACAGGATGATTAAAGAACTAGTCACAGCGCAACAAGGAGTAATTGAAAAATTTTTGTACACACTAAAAACAAAGATTGACAGAGCATTATGGAACAAAGAGCAAAGAAAAAAACAAAATAGTTTAGAATCTCGTAAGTACAGCTACTTATTGCTATACACAGAGAAAATATCAGCGTCTTTTGGATTGTAATTATTTAATAAATAAATTATTAAGTGGCCATGAATAACGGTAAGTTTGCTTTAAAAATAGTATCGCATACAAGTTTTGGAGAGTTTGTTTGTAATTAAACACATAGGTGCACAATGGGCTATCAGTGCTCTGCCCACCACGGGTATCGAAACCCGGATTCTAGTGTTCTATGTCCGCAAACATACCGCTGTGCCACTGGGGGCCAGTGTTAGAGGGAAGATAGCATTTGATTTTTATTATAATTTCAAAATGTACGAACAGCAGCCTTTTATGAAAAACGTCTTTCACTCTAAACTTCTGCATTCTTCACGTGTTTCTTCTTGTAAAATAGCTATACTTTAATATACGTATAAAATGTCAAACAGTCGAACTAAAGGCAAACAACGTAGCACTACGAGACAGTCACAGAAGAAGAATATAAGGATATAAACCACTCTTATTCTTCTGATTGTTGAATATGTGGATTCGACTTTTAAAATAAAGTTACATTTACGTACATACATAAGTAATGTGATTTGTCTGTTTTTAAACGGAATTCCACTTTTCTGAATTCAGAAATCGAATTTTTCGGGGGGGGAAGAGGAGGTTGAAATTGCCTAAGACGAAATCAGAATAAAATCAAAATTACATCAGCTGTGTCAACCATTGTTATACAAAATTTATATTAAAAGTTTTTAACGTAATTTTTAAATTGATAGGAAAACAAATCTAATAGATAATGTATAAAAAATGTATCTTTGGCTTTATTAAAAACAATGTTTGTTTGATTTTTAAAATAGAAAAAAATAGGTGGTTAACCATTGAAGGAACTTAATTATATATATTTATCTAATTGATTTAATTATATAAAGTTTTTCTGTTAACTCTATAAGTCGACTTTACTACAACGTCATAAACATCTAAATATTCAGATCTTTTATCCAGAATGTTTTATAATAATACTAGCTTAATCTCCGTCATATGACAGTAAATAGTTATTAAGTTTTCTTCTTTAATCGAAATGAATGTTTCATGTTCATGTTTTCTAAAAAAACTAATTATATTATAGTAACAATATATGTATAAAGAAAGTTTATCCTGTTTCTAGTATTTGATGAAAACAACATTTTTTTATATATTTTATCATCTCCTTTAAGACTTATGTATATTTTTGTGTTATCTTCAAATCTGCTTTATAACTAAAGCCTTACAGATTGAACCACGGGAAAAAACTGGCTGTCGGAGAAATAGTCTTGCATGGTCAAATGTCTGATCCTGCGATTTATTGATTGTGATGGCATAGAATTTGACGGTGAAGGGAAAATATATGAAAGTATAACTTTCGTAAAAAAAAAAAAAATGCGTATACAATTTTTGACTAAATTTTCAAGTCTCTTAGGTTTAAAATAATCCAATAGTTATTCCATGTGTATTACTAATAACTAGGTGCAAAGAAAGATTTCGCTTTAAATATGTTTTATGTATAAACTGAAGTATTCCTATAATTTGAGAAAAGTGTATTTGTTTCTCCTTCAACTCTTCCTATTTGGACCTGTAAAATATGGTGTAATTAACCAGGAATGTGTCAAGAAGTTATTATTATGTTTTTAAAGCGTATATTTCATAGCTCCAGTGCTGGCTAAATGCAGACCAATCAGTGGGGACGGCCACTGGGGGTGCTGATGGAATTTCGCTATTTTCCTCTATATTAACATGGGGTATACATACAGTTTATGTACGTTCAATCATTACTGACTTATCTTGGACAAAACCAGACACACTAGTTATATTCATAACTAGTGAAACATTAATTCTACTTTAGCATTTCGTTTTCAAATCCCATCAACTATTTCTGGAATTTCTCTTTCACACATTGTTTATACATATTTTCAATATAGATACGTATATAAAGTGAAATGTCTTTAAGTTACGTGTTATTTTTTGGTTTTTGGTACCCGTGGTGGGAACAGCACAGATAGCCTATTGCGTATATTTGTGTTCAACAACAAACTAACATAAAAATAATCTTTAATATATCGTATTTTATTTCAAGTAATCACGAGGAAAACAGGTGGCGTTTTTTTATAGAACGTAAAAAAATGAATAAAAACCGTAGAGATATCTAACGAAGTAAACCCGTAACGGGACAATAACTGAACAGGACCTCCCTTTTTTGATAAGTATTTGACCCTAAATAACAAAATCTACAGAACAAACTTGGTATCGTTCTTTTTCCTTAACATGTTAAAAGTAACAAAACTATATAGATGTTTACCCACAATCATACCAAATAAAATACTGACTTTGATTCATTACACTATTTTCATTGTCATCTCACCTATTCTCTACTTTAGCAGATTACATGATATCCCGATTAACTATGGTAAATTATATTTGCTTGTTAGTATATACTGTGTAGTTTTCCTGTAAGCTGTTACTATATATTAAAATTTATTCATGCGGAAAAGTCTATACCACACTTAATTGTTTTCACTTAATAATTTGTGGATATTTTCATGCGCTTGTTTTTACATTTCTTCTGTAAGATTCATTCTTTAAATTGACATCTTTTTATTATAATCTTACTTTACAATTTTATTTTAGATACCCATTACCCTCTAACTTCCACATGGTTATTTCGAATAATATTTTTCTCGACAAATTCTTATTATTATTATAGACAGTAGCAGTTCAGTTTTCAGTGCTTTTCACGATCTTGCAGTCGAAGGAGGTTCACGTTACCGCACGAATAAAAAGGATTCAGGGTAAGGCACGTTTTTATCAGTTTGTAAGTAAAGGATCAGGAGTTACACATGAGCAGTAAAGATCTATAGTTAAGTGGATAATTTTGATTGGCTCAAACTGATGTTTTATCCATCAACTGTTTTATTTTCTGTGCAGTACAACTTAGACAATGACATTTGTATCCAGTCTTGTGGCTTGTAGCTGGACAATATGTCAACATGCATCATAAAACAAGATGTAGCGGCAGTTTCCTGAACTTGAGGAGAAAGGCATCATAAGGAATTAATGTCGTGAATAAAATAATTATGATGTTTAAAGTTACTGATATTTCAATTCAGCTGCTAGTGCGCCATTAACTAAATTACTGAAAATCAATCTGCTTTAGCGTCAGTCTATGATATAGTTTAGCTAAAAGGTTTTTTTAATCACATACCATTTATTTCCCAGTTTGAGGGATTATAAACACTAGAATCCAGGGTTCGATCCTCGCACGAACACAACACGTATAGCTCATTGTGCATATTTATGCCAAAAACATCGACTTTTATCATTTGGTCAAATGGACATATGTATCAGTGAAAAAAAATTAAATTATTTTGATTATCAGAATATTTTAAGCTCTCGATTATTGTTATTTCCATAGATAAAATAAGCGATTATTGTTATTTCCATAGATAAAATAAACGATTATTGTTATTTCCATAGATAAAATAAGCGACTATTGTTATTTCCATAGATAAAATAAGCGATTATTGTTATTTCCATAGATAAAATAAGCGACTATTGTTATTTCCATAGATAAAATAAGCGATTATTGCTATTGCCATAGATAAAATAAGCGATTATTGTTATTTCCATAGATAAAATAATCGATTATTGTTATTTCCATAGATAAAATAAGCGATTATTGTTATTTCCATAGATAAAATAAGCGACTATTGTTATTTCCATAGATAAAATAAGCGATTATTGCTATTGCCATAGATAAAATAAGCGATTATTGTTATTTCCACAGATAAAATAAGCGATTATTGCTATTTCCATAGATAAAATAATCGATTATTGTTATTTCCATAGATAAAATAAGCGATTATTGCTATTGCCATAGATAAAATAAGTGATTATCGTTATTTCCATAGATAAAAACAGCGATTATTGTTATTTCCATAGATAAAATAAGCGCTTATTGCTATTTCCACAGATAAAATAAGCGATTATTGTTATTTCCATAGATAAAATAAGCGATTATTGCTATTTCCATAGATAAAATAAGCGCTTATTGCTATTTCCATAGATAAAATAAGCGATTATTGCTATTGCCATAGATAAAATAAGCGACTATTGTTATTTCCACAGATAAAATAAGCGATTATTGCTATTTTCATAGATAAAATAATCGATTATTGTTATTTCCATAGATAAAATAAGCGATTATTGCTATTGCCATAGATAAAATAAGCGATTATTGTTATTTCCATAGATAAAAATCAGCGATTATTGTTATTTCCATAGATAAAATAAGCGCTTATTGCTATTTGCCATAGATAAAGTAAGCGATTATTGTTATTTCCATAGATAAAATAATTGATTATTGTTATTTCCATAGATAAAATAATTGATTATTGTTATTTCCATAGATAAAATAATTGATTATTGTTATTTCCATAGATAAAATAAGCGATTATTGCTATTTCCATAGATAAAATAATCTTTAGATAAAAATACTTTACATGTATTAATGACACGGTTATTTTAATAGTGACGTCAAGCTGTGCAGGCTTTTCGTTCATGAACAGTAGATAGTTTTGATTTGTTTTGTTTGTACACCACGGGAAATCGAACCCCGAATTTTAGCGTTTTAAATCCGTAAACTTACCGCTCACCCACTAGGGGACCAGCAGGTAGTTCCAGTCGTCATGTACGAATTAAAAGAATGCAATATTAAAAACATTGAACTTGCGTAGATTGTGCGAAAATACTCTCCAAAGTAACATAATACATGTATTGTATTTTATGTACAGAAGACAACTGTAATTTCTGAGATATTTTGACCAATTTCTTATGAATACGTCCAATCAAAAATTTTGGCCACTTCCACCTAAGTGATCAAACCTTACGAGCGATCAATTTAATGAATATTAATGGTGTTTTAATGTGTTGAACAATTTAAAGTATTTATTATAACGTTTTTGTAGTTGTTTTTTTTTTCTAGAATTTTCTTATAGCTGTTCCTAATTTTGTACTTATAAGACTAGAGGGAAGGCAGCCAGTCAGTAGCACCCAACGTCAGCTCTTGGGTTACTGTTGTTCGACCGAATAATGGAGCTTGATTCACTCTCTTAGGGTGCTTCACTCGGAATCTGAGGGTCGCGGGTTCGAATCCCAGTCCCACCAAATATGCTCGCCCTTTCAGCCGTGGGGGCGTTATAATGTGACAGTCAATCCTACTATTCGTTGATAAAAGAGTAGCCCAAGAGTTGGCGGTGGGTGGTGATGACTTTAGTCTTTCAATGCTAAATTAGGGACAACTAGCCTTCGTGTAGCTTTGCGCGAAATTCAAAACAAACCAACCACTCTTTTAGAAAAGTGTGTTTTAGTAGCAACGGGGCGCGAACCATGAATCTTCGAATTCATAGTCCGAGCACGTTCATCTTTGACCTACTTCCGTCTTATAAAAGTGTTAAGGTACTAATTGATAAAACTAACACTTCCTTGTCCTGTGACTTCATACACAATAGCAGCTTATTTAGCGAGGACAGAAAATCAATTAATACACGTTTTTTGGTTGTTGTTTTTTTTAGTGATACTAAGTCAGAAAAAGTACTTAAGAGGTATAACTTGTTAAAAATCTATTAAAAAAAGGACACGGAAAAGGAACGTGTTGAAAATGATATCATGTGTAGGGAAAACAACCAAAAATGCCTTGTGCTAACCATGGCAAGTTGGTTTTAGTTATAAATCTTTGACTCTGTATGAATCATTGTTATTTCCGTAGATAAGGTGGGAAAATCTGTATGTAAACTTGCCTTAGATGTATTAATGACACAGCTATTTTAATAGTGACGTAAAACTGGGCAGGCTCGTTGTTGATGGTCAGCAGGTAGTGCCAGTAGTCATGTACGAAGAAAAGGAACAAGAAATGATAAAGGAGGAGACTGTACAGGTACAGCTTAAGTAACTTGACTGAGTGTGTAAGCCTAGTAAACACTTGGCTACAGATTAATTTATTATATGGACTTTTTTTTATTGTGAGTTTAATTTATTCAATATCACCACTGTATGACACGATTTGCCATTATTTATATCACTTATAATAATTCAAAATTATATATGAAAAGCATTTAAGAGAATATAAGTATTTGAGTTAATTACTCTATTATTTGTAAATTTGTTGATAATGTACAAGGAACAGTGTAATGCCCGTTAAAAAGAGCCCTGTTTTGGTGTCCTAACATTACTTGCTTCACTGTTCCCGTCCATTTTTTATTTTTATATTTTAACGGTTTAACTAATGCTCTGTAACTCAATAAACTGTAAAAATTTGGCATTTTTAAGAAAACGTAACAGTTGTTCCTACATAAAATATAACATTATATCACTATCAATAAGATTATTGTCTGTAGCTTCTAGTTTCTGAATTGGGCAAGTTGTGTAGCCTTTATACCTTTTAGCACAAATCTATTGAATTTCAAAAAAATATCCAGATTAACATACAAACAACTTTTACCGTGAAAAATCATAATAAACTTCCATGAACACTGAATGTTTTATTTCAATTTTCTAACCTAGCTTCTGACAGCTAAAGTTCGCAGATTGGAGCATTTACTCCATCTTAAAGACCTACGAATTGAAGAACTAAACAAGAGAATCGATGAAATGCAACCGACAGGACTCGAACCACAATCTCAGAAAACAGAGACAAAAGAAAACGGAAAAAGGCGTAAAAATAATGATAATAGGGAAAAAAGTTAGCTTTTGTTACTTTGTCCATATTCATAATTTGAATGCAACTCTTTCTACCAGTAATACAGCTAGAAGAAGAAGCATGGATTTTTTAAATATAATTATATAATTTTACTTAACAAAATAAAGATAAAACCAGCTTGGATAATGAAACTGAGATCTAAGTTTGCTTATTTTGCATCAAACACTCGAAGATACAGTAATAGTTTCCTTTGTTGAAAACTGAACCATTCATACTAACCTCACAATCACTGCATGCCGCTTATTGCTCACTGAAGAATACATAAAAAATATACATAAATTTTATAGACGGTTTTATAAATAGTTTTATATAGTGTTACAAACAGATAAGGGATAACTGGAGTTTTCTGTGTTATAGTTACAACAAGGCACAACGTTTGTTATTAAACAATGTTAATGGATCATTAGTTAATCTTCAAGTGTCAGAGGATCAGCATGTGATTAGCTGTTGAAGTCTATGTCCACATATATTTATTTGGTGCTACAGCGTATTTAAGGTACAGGAAACGTTTGTTAATAAGTTATATGACCACCTAGAACACTAATGCAAGTCATAAATCGATGTGACATGCTTAAAATGACTGAATAGGTGGCGTGCTGGGGCAATGCAGTTCGTTTCTCTACCAGAACTGTTTCCACTTCATCAACACAGCTTGGGGGTGAATCACGTGGTAGCAAGTGTATTCCTAGAAGATAGACAAAAGTACATTTGGATTCATAACCGATGACTGTTCTGGCTAGTCCATTCAATCTGTATCTTCTCTAAGGTACGGACCAACAATGAACAATACGCATTATCATTGATTAGGTTGAAGTCAGAGTTAATTGCACCAGCATATAACAGGATGTCGTCAAATGTGGTTCCCATAATGTATGCCATCAGTGGTACCACTCTACAGGAGTAGATGCTGGTACATCCACACTTCAATCGCCCTCCAATGCATCACATTTTTACATGGATATGGGGTTGGAACTAGTTCCAGATTCTTTTCAAATGGATGTTGACTTGTTATGTGGCTGCATGGTGAAGATAAACTGTTTTGTGCCCGGTAGTGAGTGAAATGTGTATAACTTGGTAGCTGACACATAGGCTGGCTTTGTAAGGTCTGTTTCTAGCTGTCTTTTATATTGGAACGGCGTTAGGCGCAGCTGCGAATACTTAATTCAGTCTTGGAATAAGTACCCTAATATTGCTTCGAGTCAAGATCAACAGAAAGCGATGGCCGGCAAGGCCAGGTGGTTAGAGCCATGTGGCCGTTATAATGTAACGGTCATTCGCACTATTTGTTGGTAAAAGAGTAGCCCAAGAGTTGGCGGTGGGTGGTGATGACTAGCTGCCTTCCCTCTAGTTTTGAAGATTCTTAATAACGTTATGTTTACTCTTTTTTTTCTCTCTCTCTCCTTTAAACAGCCAAAGATTGAAGCTAATAAAACAACTTTAAAATACCTTGAGCTTGGAAAAAGTCATTATTTTTTAATGACCCACAGAGCAAAACAAAATTAGATGTATCCATAAGCAGTAAGAAACAGGAGTAATGAACTTATCATATTTAACTCCAGTGTGAACATGGTTTTCGTGGATATAGCAAGCATCATCTTATCTAATGGAAGAGGAGAGCCAACAAAAGTAACCATGATAATACTAAGACAATGAAAAACCCTACATAATTAAGCATTAGATTTTCTGTTTCCCTAAGGCATCTTAAATGATGCAAATTCGGAAGTAACTGTACAAGGTTACAGTGATGTTACAGAATTTGTCTTCCAGGAAAACCTGTTTGGATACCAACTAAATGATGTATTAAGTCTGTCAGAATTTAAAATATATATATATATATATATCTAACTTCTTTTTGCCGATTGTCAAATAGAAAAGCTTTTAGTTCTATTTCTTAATAGTATAAATATATATACTATGTTGTTGTCGGTCTTAGGATTCTTCTACAGTAGGTGTCTGTGATTTGTTAGCTATAAATTCAACGATGAATAAACAGCACACACACACTTCACTTGTTTTCAAAATAATATATATATATATATTCAGAACAAGTTAGTGTATGTACAATAAATTCTTCAATGCTATAAATATTATGGATATATAATAAATACTATATATGTAGTTCTCTCCTTGTCAAATATCCACGTAGGCCTATTCAATTACTTTAGAATTTCAGTTGACAAGCCGAACTATCTTCTCTATTTCTATCGCACTAGCATTCTCTGTGATTCACTTACAATTGTGGCGCAAGTTACCGTAATCGTTTAGACTTCTTTCTTCTGAAGATCCTCTGTTCCTTTTGTCAAAGTGCACTCAGGCTGATTCAGTTACTTTAGAACCATGCTTTGACGGAATAAAATTATTTTTCTTATCTTCTTTTCTACTGTTAGTTTCACTCTAACATATTAAACGTTAGGCCTATCACATCTACGGTACTTAACTTCACGCCGACTTTATTCTCTTTCGCTATTATTTGTCTCCTGCTTCCCGCTGGTCTCACGCAATTTATATCATTATCAATTAATCGTCTGCCCGCCTTCTATATTTTCGACGTCAATGAATTATTACATTTGTCTGCTTTTAACTCTTGTTCTAACAAAAACAAACAATAATAAAACATTTAGTCACAAAACTAAATTAATCAATAATATCTAAACTAAACAGTATTTTATATCATGACAAAGTCAAAGATGTCATTCTTCAGAACAAGTGAGACTAATGTATAATTGTTATGAATACGTGTTTTTTATGGTTCACTAAATGTTCAAATAACAGAAGTAATTCCAAAAATCACGAGAAGCTGTCATTTGCCCCATAAATTCGGAACAGACCCCATTTAACTGTTCCAACCCATCCTACTTAATGTTTTATAAATACAATTAAAATGTCAGAGACAGTGGTTTACATAATACATATTTTAAAGATAAGATGTGAAAATCTGTGTATAGTTTGAAAAATGTGTTGCTATCATGCTGAGAGCTTCAACAAAAACGGAAAATTTCTACAAATCGCTGTCAGAATCGTTGGACAGAAGGAAATGACGAAAAGCTTCAAGTGATACAATGGACTGAAATTTTATATTATATTACAAACTGTATAACTGAAAGCTGTGTTCAAGTAGTACTAGATTTCAATAAGATGTTATACCTTTAAGTTGACATCAAGTATCATTAGCATATTATTTTAATAGCAGTACTATATTATTGGATAAGGTATTGATTAGTGTTTTCTAGAAATGCATTTGTTAATCAATAAATCTAAATAACACAACTGTAATTTTTCTTTTTCTCCTTTTTTTTTGAGTCTCAAGGCTGGAACGTCTTAGATGCTGATGTATCATCAGTGTATAACAGATGGTAGGTAAGGGTAGTTTTGGGGTTCGCTTCACACAAGTTACAGATGTATTTATTTAAATCCAGGTTATACAGTTGTGGGTTAAGCACACAAGGAACTTATGTGTGTCATAAAGAAGTTCATTCGGAGATAGTCGTAATATAAACACACAATATTTGTTATTACAAGTTAATGATCAATTCCTCTAGATCCAAGTTATCTGAAATCAAAACTATCAAACTCTTTGTTTTGGATACTGATATGTTCGCTAATCAAACCTTCTACTATGTTAATCAACATGGATATAAAATTAAATAGGTTATCTTTTAAAGTAATGCGGGAAATTCATTCAGTCATAGTTTTTATTAAAAAACTGCTATAGCAAATCTTCCAATATACCTGTTAGCAATTCTGTGATATCTTTTACTAGCCTTACTAAATGTTCAGTACAATTAATGTTTTTAAAATTTCTCCCTTCACATAGTGGCATTCTGTATGGTCTGCCTAAACTACATAAAGCAGATGTACCGATCAGACCCATTGTATCTAACATTGTATATACCACAGTTATAAACTAGTCTTTTTAAGCAAGTTGTTAGTTCCGTTTACTAACGGTAACTTTACTGTTAAAGACTCCTTTCATTTCTATAATTTCGTTAGATCCTTGGAATTTGATTCATCTGTATACATCACAAGTTTTGATATTAATTCATTATACACTAACATTCCGCTTGATGAAGTGATCAAATTAAGTAGTGATTTGGTATTTCCTGATATCACTAAAAATCTGAAAACTAAAAATCAATTTACAAAACTACTTGAAATTACGACCAAAGAATCTTATTTTGTGTTTAATAATAAGATATATGATCAAATTGACGGTGTAGCCATGGGATGGCCACTTACTCCCATGCTAGCTAATTTGTTCTTGCCTCATCATGAAACCAATTGGTTACGTTGATGACACTTTTATTGTATTGAGGAAGCAAAACCATGTAAAAAAGTTTCAAGAATATCAAATTCACAGTTGAAGAACAAAAATAATCCAGTGGTCATCAACCGGAACAACAGGTTCGAAACTAAGTACTACCCCAAACCAACATTTTCTGGCCTGTACTGTCATTTCAGCCCATTCATACCTGGCTGTTACAAAACTAATTTAATAAGTATTTTAGTTCATAGAACATATAACCTTACCAG